AGGATCTCGTGCTTATTCACCATCACCTCTTAGTTCTGTCAAGTGATTAATACGCCTTTGAAATAACGGGTAGATCAACAAGAGGATCTCTTTCCTGTGACAAGTCATGAGTATGGCAATCGGTTAAGCAGTGGGGCAGTCATACCCGTGTTTAGATTAGTATTTCTGTTTGGCGCAGTTCGGTAAAATTTGTAAAAATTTTCCTTATGAAGAAAATAGCGAAGTTCTGAAGCAACATTTTATCGGTGCTAAAACGTCCATGGGAAAGTTTGTACCTGACTGTACCAGTGTATACTGTAACGCACTGACGACGGATAAGGCATGATCCGAAAAGTCGGGGAATATGTGTGCGGTGCCTTCTGTAAAGGACTTGTCGATTTATCTGGAAAGAGAGTGTAATCTTGTTGAGGAACATGGCTGGAGCAGTTGTATACTCGATTCCACGACTTAGGCTTTGGAAGCGCGTTATAAATGTTCTTTTGACCTTTGCTATACCCGTCTTTGTCGGCCATGTAGAGAGCGCTTAGGCAAAAGACTTGCTGACTATGGCAGGAGGTTAACAGAGTGATGGAAAACGATCAGCGGCCAATATAAGCTAGTAAATTACTGTTGCACACAACGACGGAGGACTGCCACCACGGCGCTTACGTAAAAACTACGCCAAGACGTTGCTAATGCCTGTGATGACGTGCTACTTCCAGCTGCATATGGCATGATTTATGGAGCACGCGTAAAGCCTGTTGTGTAATGTTCGGTAAACTCTGCTGTCCTTGCTTTGCGAACGAAATTATTTTCGTTCTGGCAATGGCGTTCTACAGTTATGAGCCGCAGAAGGGAACGTTTGACTTCAGTAATCCGTTTGTCATTTCACGCTGGTGGAACGATGCCAGTAACAACAGGAGCTGGCTACCCCTGCGATTCGGAAATTTAATGCCTGCGCATCGACGTTGTTTCTTTTAGAAACTAGCGTATGGAAGAGGTGCATGCTGGCATTTTTTGAGATCAAGTAAATTAACTCATTTTCGTGAGCACGGCTGGTCTCCTGGGAGGTCTTTCAAAAACGTGGCAGTAAAAACCAAACAGTTGATGGATGATGACACGTGATAACCTGGCTGGTGGTGACTTTTCACCGTCATACGGAAATCAGCGACTTAAAGACCACCCGCCTTACAACCAGTGTGCAGTAAATACCTTATTGTTTAAAATCTGGTGATCGAAAATTATTGATCGCTGATAGTGACTATTTAGAGAAACTGAGTTATTTACAGCCTGAGCTGCCGGAAGCAGCTTTCCTGTTACCTTGATCCGATAAAACTCATTCGAAATGGAGGTTCTTCCTCCTGGAGTTTCTTAATCACTACACGTCTGCTCCGAACCGAACTTCAAAACGTATAGCACTTCCGTTGGATGCTAAAGAGTCACTTCAGCAATCCACGGCTCCGTAGTATCGAAGGCTTGCACTAATTTAACTTCACATCTTCCTCATTTTTGCTTGGAGCAGTTCATTCCTCGCCATCAGTGCTGTTTCAGACCACTGTGCTCTTTACAGGCTTTTGCAAGATGTCGAAAACTTTGGTTCACGTTGTGCAATGTGTTAAGCGCATAACATCCTGCCGGGTTTCACGGTTCTCTGGCACC